ATCAGGTAAAATGCTCTCTAAGCACTGCACCTGAGATGAGCCATGAAGAGGGCAGCAGGAAGTTTAGGAAGTTTCAAAGACAAAAACCACCTCTGGGAGCCTCAGGCAGAGATTACCAGCGGTCTCCTGGGTAGTACCACACTCTGGCAAACACAAAATTCAGTGAACTAATCACACCATCTCTCCTGCTCACTGCAGAGCAGTGTAGAGAGCAGAAGGAATTAATTACTTCTTTTATTTCTATTTTTAAGTATTCAGAGATGCTCAGTGATAGAGACTTGACAGTTTGACATTTCATCTGCTCCAGCACATGTGCTTCAAGGAATAACTACAGATCCATAATCGTACCTCGATTTCTGGTCACAGATGCCAGAACCAACAGATTTCCAGTAAAGTCAAGAAGTACCTTTGGTATATTTTAAATGAGGTATCTTCTGCCAAAACTGAGAATCTTAATCTTGCTAAAATTTTCTTTCAGCCAAGTTTAGCTGTCCTGTTAGCAATCTATCAGCATAATTAACATCATCATTCACATCAAATGGAGAAGAGCAGCAAATCCAGGGGTTATCAGCATAAACCTCTTGGAACATGCTGGAAGCTTTAGAGAAAGAAGTTCGAAAAATCTGTGCATTATAAGGTCAACACAGCTCCAAAGTTCAGGAAGATGGGCAAGATGTTGGCATAACATACCAGTGCCATAACATTATCTCACTAGAAAAGAACAACACAACCTGAGCACAAGCAGACTTAAGACTTAAAGCAGAAACATAATAACTAGTTCTGTTGCCATCAGGAAAAGGAAAATTAACTTTTTTGTATGAAATGCTACAGGTAAGCTCTGGTCCCCCTTCCACTGTAACCCATCAACTGGGTTACAATCCATCTGTTCAGGGTATTTGCCATAAATAAATAAGATACTGACACCAATCTACCATGCTTTTTGGACAATGGAGGAATCTAGATAAATAATTAAGCTATAACAATACCTCATACAGAGCTATATATTATGGCATATTCTGGTAATTTTCATATCCATGATCTGATACAAAATTTTACTTTAACAGAAATAATTCTTTACTTAAAGCCAAATAGCTAATTTTTGCTTTTATCTTATTTCTTTTTCACAATGTCTGGGTTTTCCATTAAAGTCAACCAGAAATAACAAGAGTTTAAAAGCACAGCTCACTGCATGAATCCAGAAGAAAATGTTTTCCCGAGCATTTTATAGAATTTAATTATTAGTTTCAAATACATTTTTGGAAAGTAACCTACAGTAAACAAAGATTTATTGTCACATAAATAAACAATGAGACAATTACAGGCTCTTCATGGAGCCCATATTAGTCACGCACGTCTAATGAAGCATTACTAAGCTATCACAGGGAGATGGCCTGATGTGTGTGATTAACAAAATAACACTCATAAATAGCTAACCAACAATGATGGGCCTTTAAAAATTTTGCATATCCATCTATATGCAGAGTTATGGCTTTTGTTGCTTTGTAAGGAAATCATCAACCACTAAGTTCCACCCTTAGGTGGAACTGAAAATAGGAGAATATCAAATAGCATATAATAATAATAAAAAAGGAGAATATTAAATAACATAATACAATTATTTGCATTTTTGCCTTCTACATGCTTTTGAAAATATAAAAGAACTCTCATGAAATATGACTAATGAAGAATATACTGCAGCATGAGATATAACCAAGATGGATATGACAGAATAAATGATGAAAAATTATTTTCATATAATATGCAGACATGAAATCTCTCAAGTGGCATTGGGTAGAGAAAGTATGGGTTTAGCAATAATTATGGTAGATTATTTTATGTTAAAAAGACAAAGAGATGTATTTCCCTCATGTGAGGTATATATTTGGCAAACATATTCTGGAGAAAGCAAGTGAGATGGATGGATCCATGGTATGGAATGATGGTATATTAGAAAGGACTGTTATTATTTCTGTAGAGGAACTATATTGTATTGCATATACAGTGTAAACTTGCAGCAAATCCTTCTTGCATTTTTCTTGGTGAGATAAACTCTTTCCAAATGACATTCCACCTTCACCCTAGTCTCCTTCATGGATAAATTTACTCAAAGGGCAGAATTCCTGATGGCTGGAATAATAGCATTATTGAAATCAATATTTTTTGATAAGTATTAGGTCTGGAACATATTAAAGAGAGCTATAAAGTACAGGAGGAAAAAAACCTGCTTATCATTTTCAGTAGTAACCCAACTACAGCCCTTCATCTGTAACGAATTATGGAGTAATTCCCCTAAATCATCGGTATGAAGTCAGCTATGACACTGCCAATTTTAAAAAAAATTTGCTAGTTTTGAGCTACAAATTGATTTTTTTATTGTGATAAATTAAAATCCAATGGCAGCCTACAAGACACTCAGCATACAGAAGCCCACATTTTTTCAGAATATTTTTTTTCTCTTTTCTATCACACCAGACTGCCACTGTGGCGGACGTGATAGCAATAGCCAATGGCAAAAGTGAGGTAAATAATCTTTAAAAATAAACAAAAATATGAGCCCTGTTGCCCAAAATATCCTTTTGGAAACTCCAAAATCATGGAAATACAACTAAGGGAGAAAGTGATGTGGGGGACAGAGCGGGCTGTTTAAGGAGGAGAAAGGAAATGCAGGATTATTTGGCTATTCCCTATTAAGGGCTATTTTTTTCTCTACTGTATAAACGTAAACATTAGTCTCCAAACTTTAAAAACTCTAAAGTTCAACATGGATATCAGAAGATCAGTGTGAGAAAAACATAACCTTCTTGCAACCCCTTTTGCTTCCTTCCCATCAAAAGATCCAGGCCAAGAAACTGTAAATCCGCAGTTTTGCCAGCTTGTGGGATTTTCTAAATCAAGGATGGGATTGGCAGTGTCCTACATCACTGAATTACAACATCCTTATTTTGCCTTCTAGGAGGTTCCTCATCATAGCAGTGATGCAGCTTTCTTTGGGGTCATTTTAGCACAGAGACACTGAGGTGAGACTACATAGATGGTCTCATTTACTGCTCTGCCAACTGACATCTCTCAGCATTCCACCAGGATGAGCCATAGCTGTTTGGATGAGACATGGCGCATCATCCCTAAATATTTGTCTCCTGTGCTGTGGGAAGAATCTTGCCTCAGCAGTGCTCCAAGAGCCCAGAGCTCTGCCAGGATGTGTCCATTAATTTGTGTATTTCAGATGCTGAGATTCCCAACAGAAATGGGAATGAGATGACAACTCATGGCAAAGCAGAGACAGGTTGAATGAGAGAGTCTACGAAAAGAATGGGACAAGGTGTGAAACTTCAGAACATAGAGAGACCCAAGCCACAGAAAAAGCCAAAGGGATGGTGGCTGTGAATAACTAGTAGGGGATTTCACGCACTCCTGCTTCAAAACCTTGGCATGGAAAGTGTGTTTCTCCTGCTTTCAAAACACGTAAAAACTGATGTCGAAAGCTTCCCACAGCCCTTTGTCACAGTCCTGTTCCAAGAAGGACAACTCAATACACCTGTCCATCACTCCAGCAGCTCAGGGGCAGACATTTGGAAGGTGGATTTAGAGGTTTCATTCTAAGCCTCAGTGAGTGAGTGACAGGTTTACTATAAGGATGATATAGATGTGTCAGATTTAGAGTATATGGTGTCAGAGTTATGAAATGAAGGAGACTGTTCCCATGTCCCCACCTCACCAGCTGCAGACAGGAGAGTGTGTAGGATGCTGCAGGAAATTATCCTGGAATAAAGGACACCTTTGTTCCTAAAACACATTCCCTTTTCCCTCTTTATTCTATGCAGAGAAATCCAATGTTTGACAAGCATTCAGAGCCAAGGGCAAAAGGACTGGTCTTTCTCTTTCTTCTTTTTCATTTTTTTCCAAGAAAAGGCTTTAGTCTTAGGAAAGTAACTGTGGCCTGAGTGCAATTTTCACTGACTGACAGTCCTAATTCTGACATTTTCTATTTTCTGTAACCCCAGCAATGTTCTCTGCAACACTGCTTTTGTATGAATACTTTACACAGGCTGTACACAACACATCCCAAATGAGCTTTTCATTACTAACTACTCATATTACGTATCAGTGAGCTCAATGACATTGATTTTCTAATAATATAAATTAACTGGCAAAGATAATTTCATCTATCATCAGTAGGGTTTTATTTCTGGCATCATGTTAAATAGTTAATCTTCCAAAAGATTAAATCAAGAGCTTTTTAAAATTCAAGGCAGAGCTTAAACTGCTGTAAAAATCTTCTTAATTATGATTAAAACAGTTTGTGTGTTGTTGCTTTATATCTAAGTAGTATAATGTTTTGCTTAGGTTTCTTCTTTTGGAGCAATTTAAAAAATCAAACATGGTATCGCTGTAGCAAAAACTGTAAGACATGGAAATCTCAGCAACTTCCTCAATCAGATACTACTGGGAAAGGTACTGCTTGCTGCTTCACACAGCAACCTCAAACTTTCCAGTGTCTTTTGCCTCCCATTCCATACAATATATAATTTTTCTACCACTGACAACACATGAGCTCCGATTCTGATGGTTACCGGGTTCCTCACTGAAGGCTGGCATTGCTGTTAATAGGATATATCACACTATGGTGACTACTGCTTTCGTGTGGAATTATGGATCTGACAGAAATTCCTTTGACTAACCTGGGACATTTTAAGGACAATCCCAGCTAAGTGTGTGCTGCTCCCCAGCCTGCACTGCCCTTCCTTTTCTCTATCTCAGGTATCAGTGGGGAAAACCAGCTTCACTCTCCTGGAGTTGTCTGCAGCTCCCTGTTCCAGCTTGTTTTCATCCCCTCAGCTTACCCCTGACACAAGGAGCCCAGACCAAGGCAATTCTCACCTCTAATCCTAATCCCTTGTCATGAGACCCTCAAAAGTCACCTGACCTGTACTGCTGAGGAGTCTTAAGTAGCCTCCATGAAAAGATTAAATTCTGCTCCATCAAATGATCATTTTACTTACCCCTGTCTTTTCATCAAAGATTTTGATTCCCCCAAAGGAAACTGTTAAGAAGACTTTTTGTTTATGTTCTCCTTTCGAACGAGCCGCAGCAACAATTCCCTATGGAAAAAAAGAACAGTTTGGTTGGTTTCATGACTCTTTCAGGTGCCACAGCAGAGCACAAATTTGCTTGTGGACTATTCCCCACTTTTCTAGGAAAACTTCAAGGTTTCCCAGGAACAGTCCCCCTCTTACTTCTGGCTTCTTCTCTTTTTTCAAGGAACCACATCTCTTTATGCTATTCAGAGAGCATTTCAAATGTGCTCCTACTTCCAACCACTGCACTAGTTAATCCTCCATGAAATTTGTTTTTTATGGAAGATGAAGGTCATTTCTAGCACACTTTTCCCAGCTATGACCTGCTCTGTTTTCTTTTCTTTTCTTTTTTGTTTTTTTTTTAAGGGAAAAAACCCAACAAGCAGCAGAGGAAAGAAAATGCCAACAAACTTCAGTTTACTTCATGAGCACATGTATTTGGAATAAGCAAACTGAGCTTTTTATAGAAGAAAAATATTCTTCTCAAAATCTAACTACACCTGTACTGTAAACTCAAACCTTTACTTTCTAACTGAACTTGCCAATACCATCCTGTGCACCATTCTAACTCAGTGTAACTATAATAGTAGCTTCTGTTTCCACTTTCTCAGGAGCCTGTCCTGACCAACAGCACTGTACTAAGATCAAATGCAATCAACTGCACTCCTAAATAAATGAAAATATTTAGCCTTTATCTGGCTATCTGAAATTTCAACATGTTTTAAGAACCACTAACCTCTAAGACCTTCATGAGATCGTTGTTGCCATTACACAGACATGATACCAAAAGTCACCCCAAAACTTTATGGGTGGCCTTAAAACTCATGTTGTTGGACACTGGATTTCCAGAGCCTGAAACTTCATGTTATGCCACCAAACATGAATTTCTAGAGTTCCCTTTCCTTAATAGTTTTAGTCATTTCCCAGAACTGTTTAGATCAATATTCCCACAACGCAAACAGGTTATCAGGCATCTGGGAGACATGGAAATGGTAATCCATGGAGAAGAGAGACAAAAAAAGCTTGTGCAGCAGAACAGTAGCAACTCTCCCCACTTCCTTCTAAAAACTGTCAAACAGTGAGAAATATCCAGCACACATTTAAATCACGTAGGACTATCGTGGCTGATGTGACATATCAACAGAACAGCTTCTAGATCAGATTAGTTTTTGCTTTCCATAAAACTGATTTGTAAATTATCTACCAGATCTTGCTTTTAGATTGTTGAACCATAAGAGGGATGTCACCCCATGCTGTTTCTTAATGAATAACTTATTCCTCCTGGATTGTTGGGATTGGAACCCTGCGGGTTGGTAGTGAACAAGACACCGTTTAGTGATTTCTCCTCCTGAAAAAATCAGCAATAGAAATCCATCAGCTCTCTTGGCAGAGTGGTGGGGAGAGGACTGGCAGGAAATAAAAAGAGGGAAAAAACTGCAAAGGGTTTACTCCTAGAACTAGCTGGTAACCTACAGTGCAGATGGCAAGTCAACAGCCAACACTGCACTCCAGGAAAACACAACCTATCCCTCCTTCCCAACAACACCAGCTCTTCCACATGTCCCAGGGTGAGGCAAAGGATGCTTCCTATAGACGGTTCTCATGTTCCTTGAGGGCTGTGAGAAAAGACTCAGCCAGAGAGATGTCTATCATCGCTCTGACACCACTGGTGCTTTCAGACTCTGTCTACTCTCCAAGTTTACAGTCTACTCAAATCTGCCCTTGTCACTGCTCCATTTCTTCCCCAAAACTCTGGGAACTTCTCTTTATCATCTCATGCTCCATCCTCCCAGTGCACTGCCTCCTGATTTTGTAACCCATCAGTCCTGCCATTATAGGTGCAAGGCATTCTCCTTCCATTGAGAACACAGTTCCCCTCTATATCTGGCTACCTACACCCAACACCATCACTAACACCTTCCTGCCTGTCCCCATAGGACATAACAGCCATAGGCAGGGCTGTAGTTGATTAGCAACATCATAGAAAATATTCTGATACACCATTTCTCTCCACAGTGCTTTACTTCCCCTTTTGCATAATAACATTATTCAATTTGCAGATGTGTTGTTTATAATTTGTGGACAAATTGCAGTGGTGTCAATCACGAAAAACTACTGAACTCAGAGATAATGTATGAAAATTAAACCAGGATAAGCAATACCAGCCAGGAGTTCATGTAAAATTGACTGATTTCAATACATAATTAACCAGACCAAGACTCAGTGTCACGAAAGGAGAACGAGTAGAAGTTCAAGCTGAAATTTGCTCCCTTTGACTCCATAATATTAAGTATTACAAGTTTCACTGCACCTTGAGCTTCATCATGGAGTCTTGGCATAACTTGTCTCCTCGTGCTGCAGAAACCTCATCTATCCCAATCAGTTTTGCTTTGTATCGGACACCGTCACCCTTAAACCTCTTTATTAAAGTGGCTTCACTGCGATCCTGACCTGAAAAGACAAAAGGGAAACAAGGCAATTTACATGAGTGCAAAGCAAAATAAATGAATAAACACAATTAAGTGGCAAATTAGATCTAACTCCTACATCAACACCGAAACACGCAAACATTTCAATAAAATTAGAAGGAAAGTACTAGTTCAATAAAACCTTTTGGCCTCACTGCCTCAAATGAATTCACAGTGGAATTGTTGCCATACAAAGTCTTCTGCACAAAATTTGCACACAAATTAGGTTTGCAGAAGTAAGAGATAAACCTGAATCAGAGCTTGTGGATCTGAAAACTTGTGATCTGTATGGGTTGTTTTAATCCCAATACACACGAGAATTCCACATTTTGCAGACAAAACAGCAACAGAAACATACTACTATTTCCTTGTATACTGACTTATCTAACTGTATCAACAGCATTTAGGCTATTAACATTTGAAAGATGGAAAACCAAATTATATTATTTGCCTACAGAATAGTGCTGCTTTAGAACCCCCACAAGAAATAGTCTCCTTGTTCCTATTCTTTTTGCTTATAGGCATACTAAAAAAAAAAATGTAACTAGCAAAGGCTGCTCTTTCAGGCTCACCCTGAGAAGCTTAAAAAAAGGCAAATATGTTTCTTAATAAAAAAACAATTGGAGGTAAGAGAGCAGTGTATGGATAAGGTCAATTGTCCTGGGTTTATTCATAGGAGTTCATATGGGGCTGTGTTTTGAATTTGTGCTGGAAATAGTGCTGAGCAGGCTGCCCAGGGAACTGCTGCAGTCACTGCCCCTGGAGGGATTTAACAGGGATGTGGCACTTGAGGACATGGTTTAGTGGTGAGCTTGGCAGTGCTGAGGGAATGGTTGGACTCGATGACCTTACAGGTATTTTCCAACCCAAATAATTCTATGATTCTGTGACTGGCTGCACATTGGTTGGTGGTGAGCAACAGTTTTTCATTGGCATCACTTGTCTTTCTTTCGTTTTACTTCTCTTTTTCCACAATTTTTCTTCCCATTACCAAAATAAAAATAAAAATGTCACCACCATCAACATTTCAACTATTAAGCTATCCTTATCTCAACCCACGAGTTCTCTCACTTTTACCGTTCCAGTTCTCTTCCCCTCATTCTGCTGGGAGAGAACTGAGTGGCTGGGCAGTATTCAGTTGTCAGCTGGGGTTAAACCACACCATCAAATGTACCTAAATTATAACGCTCTGACTGGCCTGAACCACATGACTGTGACACCACAGAAATCTACGAAAGGGACGTTTTTGTCAGGAAGACTGTCCCCCCCTCCCTGAGTATCTGCAAAACAGCTTTTACTCTGTCTTAGCTGGAAGAAATATGTTAGTTAAGGAATGAATCTTCCTAAAATTGATTAAAAACATATTTTGCAGCTGTCTGTGGAATTTCTTGCTAGGACCTCAAAAAACCAGCAGTGAGCTGTAAATAATTGCAACCAAACAAGGAACAAAAAAAACAACATTAAAGGCACAAATAAGCAAGCAAAACAGTAAGATCTTAAAAGCATTTTTAGTTTCTTGGACCCAACTGATTCCTCCAAAACAACACGGTCTGACGTTGCTAAAATTTACACTATTACCACCTAAGAGCTCTAGTCAAAGATTCTGCCCCATCCTTCCAGTTGGTGTAAAAGAACGAAACAGGAACCAGTGTCTTCTATAAATGAACCACAGGTCAGAATCTAGTTTTAGACACCTACATTTGAAAATTCTGGCCCAAACTTGCCCCAAAGCTCATTCCTACTTAAAAGGTCAGATTTAAGCACTGAAAAATTAATAAAATCTACTACTGTGCAGCTGGTTTTTGATAAGCAGAAGAACAGAAGCTTTGGGGGAAAATGTTATTTTGTTTAGCATTTCTATTAGAAGTACCTTCTTCAGCAGTCAAACTTGGGTCAACTTGTTAATTTACACACCCATCAACCGGATGAATAAACTTTAGGTTCAAAACTAATTGAAATTTTTACAATACCATTATGAATATATATAATCAGCAAAGAGTACTTCCAAATGAAGACACTCATTTGGTTCTTCTCTCCCCCCAGAGTAGAGCACTGTCCATGCTGTGAGCTAATGATGGATTAAATGTATATTAAAAAATGGAGCTATATTAAGCATTTTGAGATCTTTAAGTATGTTTGAGTTCACAAATGCTATTTCTTTCAAAGAACAATATCAGCTCAGAGCAATGTTTTATGCCTCATTCATAGCCCCTTAAAAATAAGGCAGCTGCTAAGTGCTGCTGTGATACTTCAGCAGCCAGCCAACTGTTCCCCTTGATCTGTTCTCACCCCTGCTCCCTCAAAAGAATTGATCAGGGTTTAAACTTCACACTCTTACATTATATTGTATTAAAATTAAAAAAAAAAAAAAAAGGCAAGTGAGACACAAATGATGCATCAGAAACTCTCAGCAGTGCTAATAACATTCCCCAGGGAAACATCAAGGCAGATGTTGGCACCATCACCTAAAACAATGAAAAAACATTTTCCACTTTCAGCCTCCAGAGCAGGGCAGGAGGGAAAACATCTGGAGACACAACAAAGTACAACGATAACAGTGGATTTTTCCATATGTCTTTTATACTTGCAAAGATATCCTGTTGATTTGCAATAAATACAATCCAATTCCAACAGCTTCCTTACCAGAAATTTCCAACCTTATGTCTTCCTTAGGGCCAAAGGCAGCTGTGAGCTAATAGCACGAGTATGTAAGTGTTCAAGAGTGTCTTCTGAGTCCAAGTCGTGACTGTGACCTTGCATTCATCAGTTATTTGAACATTTATACTTATTCCAACCTCTGATCTGTTTTACTGCACGTAACTAAATCCCTGACATTAACAGCCCATTCAAACACACCTCATGGCTGTGTTCCGCTTACGCACGAGTCCCATGTCAATTATGACCCAGATTAAGTAGGATAAAGTGCTTTTGGGATAAATGACTGGGAAAAATCATCAACCTGAAAATGATGTAGATATTTGAAACTGCGGTGGAAGCTGCAAATTACTAGAGAGTACAAACTCATCCGTAAAACCCTAGAGCATATGTCCCGTGCAAAGCACAGAGCATGCACACAGACACACGCTGCCCTATATTGTACATCAGCCATCTGCAACAGTCACCATTTCTCACGTATACCCAGCTCTCCTCCCATCCATATTCATGCCATATTCTCAAATTTTGGTGTTGCAATCAGCACTGAAAAACTTTCTACCTGCATAGGAAACTACTGCACGACACTGTCAGTACAGACGATTTTACAGCACCCATGAGGTATGAGATTTATGTGGGGTGATACTGTGTTTGCACATCGGACACTTAGAAAGCAGATAGTCCAGACTCTCATAAGCACCTCATCATTAAAAAAGAAAAAGGAATTCTTTTTAATGACCGTTCTTGAACAAGGTTCTTTCTGTATTTGAAACTTCATAAATCAGGGATATCTGAATTACAAGGCTGTAATTCTTAAGCTTCGGAGGAGGGTGAGTGATAACATTAAATGACTAAACTAGAGAGCTTTCTGTGCCAGGAACCCACCCAAGAAAGTGCCCCCCTTTTCCTTCCATGTAATAAATGGGGTCAATATTTCCTCCTTCACATCTTCCACCTTCTGAGGAAGCCAAAAACCCACTAAAAAGGTCACACAAACTCAGTTTAGGAAGAGGATCACTTTTAATTAGAAAATGTGCCACTCTTGACCCAGGCAAGAAAAGTTTTGTTTGCAGCGTATAATCCTCAGAGGCCCTCAAAATGTAAATGTTAGAGTAATTATTTTATTATTATCTACTTCTGTAGATGTCACCATACACCCTTAAGCCCTATGTGTTCCAGCTGGACCCCCTGCTCCTGCATGAGTAGGACAACATGACCTTTTGCTGCTGAGTTGTGACATTGCACTTGGACTTTCATGGCCTTTTAGAGAACAACAAATCCCCAGAGCTGAGTGGTGCAAAGTGCTTCTGAGCTCGCAACTAAAGCAGAGATATCAGCATGATTAGTGTTAGGTTACCTTATCCATCTCCCTAAAGCTACTGTAGAAGTAAAAAAAACAAGGTTTGTAATGCAGTCAATCATTTTTATTCAAGGCAATATACCTTAATTAAACCAAGACTCCCTCAGGCAAGCTAGAGACAGCCCTGAACCCAAACCCCCGAGTACTCAACCTCAAATCCAGTCAATCCCAAGAGGTGACTGGTAAAAAGTCCAAGAGAGAAATAAGCTACTGTGGAAGATCCACAGCGTGACCTGAGTGACAGAGGCAGATGCTCCCGAGGCCGTACCCAGCAGCAGGCACTAGACCTCCTTGGGAAGATGTGCCCAAGGCAGTACCACACCCTGCCTTTGACAGCAAGAGGGAGAGCTGTGTTTGCATTAAATTATCTTGCTCCCCACAATGCTCTTAATCTTGCAGCCTGAAAAAGACTCAAGGTCTGCTTCCCAGGCACTGTGTATTTTACTGAGTGTTTCAAGAAGACTTATCCTCACTCTTGGTACAAGTCAAGGATTACACCTGATTTCGGCTCTTAGCCCAACAGAACACTGAGCTAACACTGCATTAGTAAGCTAACATTTAGGGCAAACGCTGTTTGTCCTCCCAGGGGATCTGTAACTGAGCGCATTTCTTAAACAGAACAAGAAAATAAAGCAAAGCATCACAGCAATAAGAACACTGTTGCTCTTTCTGTCCTCGTAATGCACTAAACATTTGCCATAGCACCTGCTAATCTAAACCAATAATCCTGGAAATGGTTATATCCTTTATTTAAATGTGTGAAGCCCTCAGGGCATAACCTAAATTTCTTGATTTTATGACCCTAAAATATATAATGATATTATCACCAAAGTCAATAACATGTTCCTAGCAATCAATTCGCTGAAGAACAACACAGCACTGTCTTTTTCCTTCTTTTCTAAGTAATAAACTGTCAAAGTTGTATCCATTCAAATTATGTACACATTCAAATTATAAACCTGAAATAACAC